GCTGGATCTAGGCACGAAACACCCCCAAGCGCAACAATGCCAAGTCCATTTGGCTTCAGGGTTTACAGGGCTTGGGTGTCGTGAACCCACGGTGCTTGAGATCTTACGCTTGGAGGCCGAGGGATTGGTCTTGCTCCAAAATCAACTCTTCCTTGACAACCCTAAAAGCGTTTAGGCTTTAGGGTTTGGGTTTAGGGTTAAGGGTTGGGGTTGGGACCATCACAAGTTTTGGGAAACATTCAGTTCTGTCTTGGTTTCGTGCCGATGTGAAGGAGTATCTGCAATTCTTGGTTGCGTACTGCAGATTTGATTGCTGTGGTTTGTGGATATGTCAAGATTTCCGTACGCCCTCCAACTCCTAGGATCTGGAGGAGAGGGCTTCTACTGAGAAATCGATATACAAGCTTACTACAGGAGGATTCCTTAAATCGGGGGCCCCTATACAGAACCCAAAACACCTTGAGCCACATTAGAAGTACTCTAAACATGGGCCCCCAAGTCCTAGACACCCGCACGTTCGTTAACTCAGCGCTCAGGACATCAGCAGCTGCTCTGACCCAAGGAGGTTGTTACTAGAATCTGCTGCAATGTACTACAAGATATCATAATATGGTATTTGAGGATATTGCAGATCTCCCATGGGCAGCGTTTTAGGCTGTAGATCGGACCAGAGATTACGAGCAAGAGCGGCCCTACCCTAAACCCCAAACCCTAAACCTTAACCATGAGGCTTGGGATCCTTGTTGACATGGGAAATTCCTGGAGGGGTACGCTGGGCACCCTCGAGAGTGGGCTTAGGGATAATGGAAAAGAAAATGGAAATGACTGTAGGGTTTTAGGGTGTAGGGCTACAATAAGTAGAGGGCAGAAGAGGATTTTGGCCCCCATCATACTAAAGGAGTGTCAAACAACCCTGAAAACCAAAGTTCCTCATCGTATTTCAATTGCACCTTCAATCCTATACATGTACCCCACACCCGTACACCTAACCGCACGCACGTAATCCCCAAGGCTTCTAATCTGACAAAGATGCGAAGAGCCAGTGCATTGGCCGCCTGGTGTTTAGGGTTTAGGGTTTGGAGTTGGGGGTGTTTAAAATTACCAGAAAGCCCAATACGCCCTAATTAAGGAAAATACCCTAAATGATAATTACTAGGGTCCCTAATATGGTTTAAGCTATATTCCTTAATTAAGGGGTATTGGGCTCCCTGGATTTGCTGCAATTTACTTGTGAAGATGACATATGTCGGAAACCATCATCGCTCTGACCGCGACAGGGATTTCTCAAAGCTTGGATAACCCCAACGGTCCCAGTACCCAATGACCGAGTTTTTGGAGTTTGGCTAGTAGTTGTTCATGTTGTGTATACACCCCCACATAACCCCTATATAACCCCCACATAACCCCTATAACCCCCACATAACCCCTATATAATCCCCACATAACCCCTGTATAACTCCTATACACATAGGCTTGGGTGCGTATGTGTGAGGGCTCTTTCGCAGGGAGAAAGGTCTGTGAGCTCGGCAGCTAGCGGGAAGCATGAAGATCAAGGTGACAGTGCTACCCTAAACCCTGAACCCAACCCAAAAACCTGACATGATCCCTATCTTACAGAGACGCCTAGAACATTGTTGTTTCAAACCTCTGCATTGGAAGGTCCAAGTACAGCATCCGCAGTTTGCGTCCAGCAGGTCTGACCGTCATCACAAGGCCCCACACCCTGACACATATGCTATACTCTGCTATAGGCTGCTCCAGACATAGGGAGTATAGTTGCTTCTCCCGACTATTGTTTGCCCTGGTGACACGAAATACTGCATGGCCGTGCTTCAACCTTTGGAAAATTATCCGAAGTGGATCGGTTTTAGGTCGGCCCAAAGAAAGAGAATGGTTCGCCTAGACCTCCAATGTCGTACTGCGTGGCAAATATCGGAACAAGATGCCCAAAACCGTACCCTTAGGGGTCAAATAATGGTGCAAGGGGGGGCCTGGTTCTGTGTTGCATTGCAAGCTGCTACAAGGCTCAGGATTTGGTTCAGGGTTTAGGGTTCAGGGTTTAGGGTTTACACTCCCAACCCCTGAGCCGAGAAGTGTCAACTTACTTGGGGTCTATGTATTCCGAAAGTACTGCTAGGCGCCTTGTAAGCCGAGCATGCTGGGCGACATGAAGCAGGCTTGGCTGAGGTCACTGGTATTTGAGCCCTTCGAAGACTGGTGCTTCTCTGTGTATCGCCCATTGAGGTTTAGGGTTTAGTGTAGAATGCGTCATGCCAGTCATATTCATGACTCCTGCCAGTGGTTTTGCTGGGAACGAAACGGTTACACAAATTGCTTGCTACAAAGACTCGATGATCCGTACCTGGGCCACTTCCGGTGTCGTTTGACAAGCTATTTCCGGGTGTGTGAAGACCTGAGTCTTAGCACTGGAGCGACTATGAAACTTTTCTACCCTATTCAGATACCTACTGTATCACGGCAGCGAATATGCAAGATGAGCATGCTTGTGGGAACAGCCACACGCACCACCTAAACCAGAAACCCTGAGTTTGGCGGCATGAATGACATTGTTGGGCATTTAAAGCTTCTGTGTTGCGCTTACCTTGGTGCCTGCTTGCAGTGTGGGTCTCAGAGTTCAGGTAGGTTTCGCGGGTAGTTCTGAATGCCGCTATATAAATTGGATTGCTATCGTTACGGTGCGATCCTAATTCAAGTCCGTATGATCACACTCAGACAGAACTACCCGCAAACCTCCAAGTAGCAAAGTCGGCGAAGATCCTGCGCTGCCTTCTTGAGGGCGTAGTTCGCCAGCAGTGAAAGCGAACGACAGCATTCATTCAGGCTGACAGCTGTGATACCAGCCTTACGCTTAAGCCGATGTCCGTAGACCTCGACAGCCTCAAGCTTTCAACTCCTAACCCCTTACACAGAGAAGCGCAAGATTTGGGCAGATTCATGCGGAACCCACATACGGTAGGCCCCTTTTGAAACGACAGCAGCCTCAAGAGGGATACTTGGGTTCCGTCTGTTTTTTGAGGGAGCGCCTGGAGGCCACTCATCATTCAACACGCTACATACCAGCTTTCGGGAGTCTGCAAAGGCAACATCACGCCCCTGTCTAAGTAAGAGATGTGCGATCCGAGGCTTGTGAGCTCCCTGATCTCTTTCACGGCGATTCTCATCAAGAAGCTCTCAAAGGAGTCGCAGCCTTTGGAACTTCATGGGTTCGTTCCGAAACAATCCAAAGCTCTCGAAAGAGATGCAGCCTTTCGAACATCATTGGTTCGATCGATTTTTCTGTGGCTCATACCTCCCCTGAAGGGTTTAGGGTGTAGGTACTGATAGTATATTATTTGGGCCGTGAAGCCCGATTATGTGGGTCCTGGGGCCCTTAGGGCTATTGAAAGTGAAAATACAACGAGAAGGACCGAAGGCCTAAGGTCCTATTAAACTGATGTTGGGGTGATATTAGGGTAATATTGGGATAATGGAAAACGAAATGCAAACTACTGCCACAGAAAAAGCACAGGTTGAATCGTTGGTTCGAACCTCGCTGGTTCTCAGCTATCGTCATCTGCGCGTGTTTGGATACGTCTCCACACGCCGTCAGCTTGCGCAATTTTGTCCCCTCCCACAGACGGGGGTTGACACATCAACAGTGACAAGCATGCGGATCGTCACTAAGTCTTCGAAATCCTCATTTAACTACTCGCGGTTAGTAAGGCATGAGGAATGGATCCCTATAGACTGTAGTATGTGCCTACAAAGACGAACATGACATGTGACATAAATTTTTGTGTTTGAAACCACAAGTAAGTTGTAAGCTTGGGGGATTTGCAGGGTTTGATGATTCCGCATCCTTGAAGTCGGTCTGGCACTGAAACAGTCCGAGGTCGCACTCTTGGATTGTACGCCTAACCGGCTTCCAAACAACCCAGCCCTAGCAATGCGGATTTCTTTGATAGTACGGGCTTCTGTAACCCTTATCTCTAGAAAGACGCATGTCACAAACACCCTTCTAAACCCTCAACCCTAAACCCCAAACCCCTCAAATAGATTTCACAGCCTGCTGGTACAGGCCAAGACGTCTCAAGGTACGGTCGACTGGGCCACCAAAACGGAGTGTCCAAACCACTTGGCGGAGACCTCCGCCCACCCCATGTCTTGAGGGTTCAAGGTTTGTGGGGCTTCAACCTGCCTTAGAGCCCGCAACCCTAAACTCCCTACCCGGACAACCAAAAGTATGTAAAATAATGGCCTTAATGGCTATTATTATGGGTTTAGGGCTATTATTTTACATACTTTTGGGGTTTAGGTAAACCCTAAACCCTGAACCCGAAATCTTAAGGGTAAAAGCCTTGAAACCCCTCCCCACCCACCCTGGCCAGGCATCTGAAATCACCACAAGATGAGATCTAGAACAAGGTGTAGGGTTTAGGGTTCAGGATTGAGGTTGAGGGGTTTAGGATACAGGGCTTATAAGGGTTGAAGGTTTAAGACTAAGACTCGAATGCTGGGAAAGCACTTTACGGCAAACCTTCTACTCATATCTCGCTTCGTTTGTGGTTTGGCCCTCGTCGGGTTTCGCCCGCGAAGAATTAACATGGAACTTTGAGCTCACGAGGCGGCTCGTCATTGATGATTGTGGGCACCAGTGAGTAGGGTGCAGGGCTTACGGTTTAGGGTTGGTAGAGCTTTGGCTTCATAAGCATCAGTGGCTGTGCAGCAAGAAGAAGTAGCCGCAGGGAGCATGCAGGGACTTCACGGCCATACAGATGCTTATCTATGGAACAGTCCGAAAATTCAAGCTGAGGGATAATTCAAGAGCTGTTTTTTTCCCAAAGGGTCACCGGCATGTCGAACATAGTACTTTAAAGAGATTTGCCGATGGAACTGTGTTCACCCCATTCTTACTGAATTCTCACTGGCGATTCTATGCTTCTAAACCACGGTGTTCTCGGTATACACTTGCAGCCATGCACAATCGCCTGGAACAAGTCCTAATTCAGAAGTGGGCCATCTCGCGATCGATCGGCCCAAGAAGCAATCTCAGCCACTGGCACCTGCATCAGGAAACGACGCCAGATAGATTTAACTGGATAACGCCCTAAACTTCCACGTCAAGAACACCGCAGTCGAGCCTGATGCTGAGGTGTTTGAGAGGAGGGCTACAGGTGAAGCATGTTGCACAAGAAATGAAGGAGAATTACAAATAAGCGGCTGACCACAGCTCAAAGACAAAAGCACCACAATACAGGAACATGATAGCAAGCACCTTAGCCAACTAGGACTTACTGCTTGGGGTCAAGGGATTATAGGGTTTGGCGTTCAGGGTATTGTATGGCTATAATGAAAAGGGGGGGAGGGGAGCAGCTTCAGTCAGAGACTGACCCAATCTACCTTTCCTGTTGCTTGATTAAGATTTGCACGCACACACACAGCCTTAGCATATAGGTCAATTAGATTTATGACTGGCCTTCTGTGGGGGAGGGCCAAGATAAAGGCTCAGTTCAGACTTTTCTGGAAGGAATTTAAACCAAGCTACTGCAATAAGGAAACCCTGTCATTTACTATTTACCCGTATTATGGTAATGTGCTTTGAATGCCTCAACAGCAACCCAGGCTTTCGAAACCCTAAAACCTACACTCCCCAAACTGACATGCTTTAAGTCTAAATCCCTAAGCCCTAAAGCCTAAACTCTAAATGGTTGAAACAAAGCTGGCTTTCGGAACCTGATCCGCCCGAAGCGGACGAGGCAATGGCTGATCCCACTCTTCCAGCAGCTCCAACGAACCTTATGCCAGCTGCCGGTACGTAGGGTTTAGGGCTTAGGGTTTAGACTGAGGAAAAAAATAGTACAAACCATATAGTCTTCGCAGTTCATAGATATTATACCATACTTTCTCAATCCTTCCTAGCCTTGAGCAACAGTCAGCAAGTGTTAGGGCTTGGGCTTAGCTGTACATTTGAATATTGGACTTTGTGAGAAACTAATACCTTAATCAAGGGGTGGCAGGCTCCCTTGGACGAGGACATTTATGGCTTAGCGTTTAGCTGAAGAAGCTGTTCCAAAAACACTAAACCCTAATCCAAGTCCAAAGGCTGGGTCCAGCATTAAAGCATGGCCATGCTACCTGCTACCGAGTGTAACTTCTGACTGTAAGCCCAACATGGGCTGCACATCTCAAATACCAGCTAGTGACCTCGTCATTTCGATTATCCCCACATAACCAGCATATAACCCCTGTGTAATCCCAATACCCTAAGGTAGTCTTCATGTTTTTTGCATTATCCCTATTTTACCCCTAAAGCCTAGTCTCAGCGCCTCAAGCCCATGATCCTTGTAACCGTCTCAGCCTAAACCTTTAACCCTAAAAAGCTGGCCAGTGAAGGGTACCTACGCGTGTCGCCCCACCCTCACAGCTGATGGGCACCTTGGGTTAGCTAGGAGTGAAGGAATGGAGCCTTAGAGTAGTCAGAATATAACCAATTATAATATTTTCCAAGTTCTTTCCCATTCCTTCAGACCCAGCTAATCAAAGGTGAGAACTTTAGAGGCTACAACCCCTTTCGCTACTGAAGTATTCCTCTATGACAGGCTATCTGGTGCTATAGGACTGTTTGTTCTTCGGGTGTGGTATCCTAAGGGGAGGGGATAAATCAGAACAGGGTTAGTGTAGGCCTTAGGATTTAGGGTTTAGGGTTTAGGGATTTAGAGTTTAGGGTTTTGGGTTGCCAGGGCAACAAGCATATACGAACAGCAGGGGGATGTGTTCCAAATTCCTCAGACTTCTACATTGGAGAAATGAGGTTGGATTAGTTACTTCAAGATCCACGGTTCGAGGTAGGCCTATGTAATAAAATATCCTAAACCCTAAACCCCGAACCCTAAACCGTGCCTCGAACCAAGTTGTAAATGACTGTAACTACAGCACTCCTACGTACAACCCCAGCTTTTGCTGCGCATGAAGCTCCAAATTAATTCACTTGTAGAAACTGCATGAGCTACAGTCTATGGGTCAAAACAGAGACTTAAGCTTCTTCGCGATGGCCACCTTTGAACTTCCAAAGACAAAAAAAGTTGTAGCAGTGTTGCTCGAAGCTTTCCGGATAGTTACATGAAGCCGCACATCCTACATCTTGTCTACTGCCCAAGACCTATAGCCGTCCCCGAATATTTGTGCGTGCACAATTTTGCTTAATAAGGCTCGTTCTATGCATATGCATATGCATATGCATATACATGTTGTGTTTAAAGCCATATGAGGTATACCTTAAAGGGGGGGTTATATGAGGATTAGATAGGGGAGTAGTATAGGCATTATGAAGGGGGATACTAGGAGTTTAGACTTTAGCTCATATAAATCTGACTGTTGAAGGGCGGGGCAAAAGCCATGACAAATCCGTTTTAGGGTTTAACCCTAAACCCTAAACCCTGAACCCTAAACCCAAACCCTAAGCCCTAAACCCTAAACCCAAACCCTAAGCTATAAAGAAACCCAGAATTTCAACAAGACCTTGCGCCAGTGAGCGTGAGGTGATCTGCAGGTTCTTGGCCATGTGGTCAAGATGCCTTCAGAGAGCTTAGGGCCCACATCTAGGATTTATGAAGGATTTAGGATTTAGGGTTTAGGGTTGAGGATTTAGGATTTAGGATTTGGAGGGTTTCTCCGACAGCCCAGGTCTGGGTTTATGTAGGGTTCAGGGTTTAGGGATTGATGAAGGATGTAGGGCTTAGGGTTTAGGGGTAGGCACATGCATACATAGGTACACGCAAGAATTGATAATCTCCCCGGCCGATAGATCGGTCCTGTTCACCTATTTCCCCAAACCTATTGCAATTCTTACTACCCAAAACCCAAACACTCAGTTATTTGGGCACTTGGACCTTTAGTCCCTTAACCCTGAACCCTAAACCCTTAACCCTAAATCCTTAACCCCAATTAGGGTTCAAGCTTAGGATTTAGGTTTCTGCCTACTTGGATGTTCAGGGGCAGGCATGAGGGAGAAGTTGGAGTAGCCAAAATACGAAGTTATCAAGCGTACTGCTTATAACCGGAGAATACCCATGAACCTCGAACTCAGCCCTAAACCATGACAACCGCAGCCAAAAAACCTTTTCCGAACTCCCCGTCAACGCGACAGATCTGAAACCGTTAATCCCTAGACGGTAAGGCTCAAAACGCCTATCACCCAAACCTTTGCCCCCCTGAACCTCAACCTACCCCAAACCCTAAGCCCTAAACCCTAAACACCTCCCTGAACCTTAACCTCCCTCGTAAGTACCGGCAGCTTGGGAAGCACAAGCCATGCCTCACCAGCTCTCTCCTGCGCTCGCGGCCTCAAATCTCGCTGTCATGCGTGACAAGAACCCTAAGTGTCCAAGGACCCGAATAATAGGGTTTTTGCTATAATGTGTCCATAGTATTTGGGCCCTAAAGCCCTATTATTTGGGTCCTTGGACCCTTAGGGGAAGTGGATTTGCATGGCAGTGGCTCCCTTTTCGGGTTCCCTACAAAGGGGACGGCAAAGTTTGGGAACGCTCTCTTCTTGCTTGCTACATAGAGGCTGCAACCTGGAAATGGAATAATGTAACCAGCTTTTCCACCTCTTTCCAGTTCTTGGGTCAGGGAGTTAGGGGTTTTCGGAAAATTGCTCATGGGCTGGCTTTAGTGAGTTTTACGGGGGGCTGTAGGGGAAGCATGCAGGCGTATACAGGTGCAACAGGTTTAGGGTTCAGGGCAATTGTAAAGTGGTAACCTTGTGAAAATTATGTAGAACAGCAGTCCTCAGCACTAGGGTGAAGTTTGGGGCACCATCTGTAAGGCGGACCACAAAATGGGACCCGGCTCTTCGCAACTGCCAAAGAGAACGCATGGCATACTGGGAGAATGTTTGGGATTGATGGCGACTCGAGCGTCTTAACTACAGGATTGGAGTCATTCTTGCGTCAAGGTGCTGCCGGTCACCCAAGGGTTTGAGGTTTAGGGCCTGTCCATTCTGACTAGGAGTCCGTAAGGGAACATCGGGGCAATCCAAGCAGAGAACAATAACAGGTCCTCAAGGCAGAAGACTCTTGCCAGGGTCAAGGTCAACCCCATTAGAAAAACTGCACAAGGCTTTGTAGGACCTGCAGTTGTTCTACGGTGAAGCATGCAAGCAGCTGATGTGGCGTCAGCTTGAGACCCATATGATACGTATGTACATGGTCTACGACCCAATGTCTTGGGTGACCATGTACTACTCAATAGTTCAGGCATGCGGAAACGGAGTGTGGAACTGCAATGCAGCAAGTGTAGCAAGCAAACTTGCATTGTCACGTTACCCCACGACACGGTATAGGGAGCCTGACGCGTTCAGCAAAGAGAGAGTGCGAGACCTCCGGGCTCAAGCCCGGCAGTTTGTGGGAGCTAAGAGACGCAGGAAGCGTGTCAAACTTCCACGCGGTTTAGGGTTTATGGTTGAAGGTTTAGGGTTCAGGTGGCGTTTCCTAAAACCAATGGTCCCTGTTCGGGGCCCTAATGACAATGATTATGTTGATGGATGGTCTTCGGGGTGCCTCCTATTTGTAGTCACCCTTAAGCCCAAAATCCTGAACCATCTACTCTCTGGATCTTCCCTATTCCCACTTCCGCGCGGCTGGAGAAGTCGTTGCTGCACTCATCCAGGTACCCTTGGTGCATTAGGGGCTTAAGCAGGGTGTAGGGGTTTAGGGTTTAATTAGGGCTTACGGTGAGCTGCCAGAGAAGACCCTTCTAGTCTGTGGCCAGATAGGGTTCTGGAAGCTGAAACGACAGTGTATGTACCCCGCTAGCTGCCCCTAGATCGAACGGCTGATTTCAGGCATTCTGGCGGGCTACCGCAGACGATGCGGGCGCTGAATTTACTTACTGACTTGCACCAATGGCTTGGTTTGATTTGGACATAGGAGGAACCTCTTGGAGTCAGGACAAAAACAACCCTGCACCCTAAAGGTTTAAGGTTTAGATAAAGCCAATGCCCTCTGTGACATCTTATCGCTTACGCGGACTGGCTTCCAGCGAAGGCTGTGTGGATGTGAAATGGGTAGGACAAGCAGTTGCCATACTGAGCGGCTAATTGATGTGGAAGTTTCCAAAAAAATAGGGGTACCTTTAAGGGACATATAGGCCTTATATAAGGAGATACAGGGTGTGGGGAATAAGGTTTAGGGTTTCCCAAAATGAGGGGTACCTCCTGGGGGGTCCCCAAAACGAGTAGTACAGTGTTGCTTAGACTGGCTCCGCGCGTTTTTTTCCATGAGGGGGTTTGAGCTTCCTAGAAGCTTAGTCCAGGCTTGTGTATCCTGGGCTTTACCCTAAACCTAAACTCTAAACCCTAAACTCTCAACCCTAAACTCCAAACCCTAAACCCTTTTCCCTGAGGTCGTCCATGGCGCCCTTCTGAAGATTTAAACTCTTATCCGCCGATCTGGCGCTATCTCCGGAAAAACTCAAACCCCGCAGCTTGGCACTGAACAGGCGTTTAGGGTTAAGGGTTTAGGGGTTTAGGGGTTTAAGGTTAAGGGGATCCTGGGACTAGTGCCTCATCAACCAGAGCGCAGGAAGTGTGCAACAAAAGCAACTAAAACCACTAATCCCTGTACCCAGCCACAGCCCAAACACTGAACTCTACATATCTCCAGCCAGGAAGCGATCCTGCCTTAGCTGCGAGCTTTGGGCTCACATAGGTTTCAGATTTTTGGCTGTAGGGTTAGAAGATTGACAGCGAAAACCTGTGGAGGAGGAGGGTGGTCTCTCAAATGAGGGACCGGAAGGGCATCAGCAGAGTCCCTGCTTTATAGAGAGTAAACATTAAGGAGAACATGAACTTGCAACAATCCCCTGCATCTGTTCTCTGTGACATATCGTTCTTCATAGGCTCATGATGCCGTACACAATATGGCTCTAAAGCTTAAAATAATGCACCTGCGCTCAATCTACATCAAGAGGCAGAAAGCACAGCTTCTCCATACTGCGCTCCAGCCGGTATCTGGAATACTCCTCATCTTGGGTTGTTAGCAGTTCGTTCTGGCTTCAGCGGGATTGTGGACGAGTGAGAGAGACGAGGGTTGCGCGTCCGGCCACTCGATGCTCCCTGATGACGATATTATGTGCTAATCACCTCCCCATAATATAAACTGCCGAAAAACATATTGTAGTATGATGTATGAGAGGAATATTTGTGATTCAGAGGGGTGGCGGGGTTTATTATGAAGGGGAGTGAATTGCCCTACATATGTCGACCTCGCCACATTACCAATGTCTCGGATTCAGGATGAAAGTTTGAACCCCAAACCGCACTCCTAGACGGGCATTCCCAAGTATAGGGGTCCCCCTGATCTAACACCAACAATAAAATCCTTACTCGCGGAAGCAGGGACCCTCATGAAAACTGCGCTTTCAACTCCTGAGTCCTCAGCCCAAATCTAGCTGGTTGTCAATAGGGATTGAAGAACATGGAAACTGGTATACCACTGGGGTCTACATAGAAGCTACTACAGGGATCTATTCGGCATTCCCTACTGACAACCAGAAAGCCTGAGACCCCAATACAGGGGCCTAAGTGGAAAAGGTATTGTTATATCACATTTACGCATTTTATGTACACGCGGACTGTAGGCGATAATATATCAAAGCATTCAGGCCCGCACATTACCCGAAGCCTGATACCCTGAATCCAAAGGCTCTCCTTGTCCAGCAGAGCATGGTCCTTGCAAGGGCTCACTGTCAGCAGAAAGTTTCAAGGTTTTAGGGCTTAGGGGTTTATAGGATGTATGTTTTTTTGAGGGGAGGACCGCGTAGGGAGGATCCAAATATCATGGGACAGATAAGGGGGGGACTCTGGCTCCAATTGATCAGTCCTTGCTTACTACAAGGACTCCGCTGTTTGAATCCCGCATGTGACCACCATAACTGGGCATGGGTTCAGTAGCCAGAGATCTGTACAAGCTACAGTCTAAACTCCTAGAATCCCCCTTAATATCATCTGTAAAAGTCCCCCTATATAGCCCCCTTTAAGACTTTTAGACTATGGCTCATATAGAGTTAATATCCCCTACAATAATCCCCTGTAATAGTGCCCTATATAATCCGCCTTTCAAGAAGTTTAGCCGACGGCTCGTATTACTAGGACTGTAGAGGTTAGCGCTTGGGATGAGGAGCGAGGGTTACCAGACTTCGTAGGTTTTGGGGGTTTCAAGGTTTAGGATCTTAGGGTTTCTGGTTCTAGGGTTTCAGGGTTTCAGGGTTTCGGGTTTAGGGTTTTAGGGTTTTAGGGTTTAGGGTTTTAGGGTTCTAGGGCTTTAGAATTTCGGGTTTGGGGTTTAAGGGTTTCTTTTGAATCATCCTGTTATAAACCTCTTCGGCTGCTCACAATGAGTGGATGCGCTGTCAGGATTCTAGGGCACTAGGGCTTCATGTGACCAATTCAGTAGCATGCTTAGAGTTGAATATGTGCGCAACTACCCCAAGTCGTCTGGACAATGTTGAGCTCGTGACGGTCCACAGCCCTAAACTTAAAAGCAACATCTTACTACTTGTAAACCCCCTGAAGAGGACAATGCTCCATAATACACCCCCTTTCTGCAGGTCTCTTGTCTAATCTCAGGGAATGTGAAGCCTGAAAAGCATAAGAGTCAGGGGCTGGGCTGTCTTGGAGTATGATGCCCCTAGATGGAACTGCAATGCATGTAAGCATGCATCAAGACAAAATACGTGCCAACATGGCCAAAACAACCTGTCTGTTACGAGGACAAATGCGTGCCCTCCAGGCATTGAAAGTTTAGGAGAAGAGCATTTATGCCTAAACCCTGAACCTTTTAACCTAAACCCTGAACGTTATACACTAAACCCTATACCCTAACCCTAAGCCAAACATTAAGCCCTAACCACTACACCTTAAACCCTAAACCTTAAGCCCTACACCTTAAACTTCATATGCTAAACCCTGAGTCATATACCCTGAGCCCTAAACCGTGCATGCGGCCCAGCTTCGGTATAGTTGCGTGCAAGGAAGAGGTCCACCGTGTCCTGGCTGCTTTGAACCATCCAGAAGACACAGTGGAGAGTTCCAAAAATGAGGACTACAGGGTGCTGCATTTCGGGATAAGATCATAGAAGCTGTGAGCACCGGCAGTGTGGGCTATTAGACCACAAGAAGATTCAAACCCTTTGTGGCAGGACATTGGTTTCGCGACTCTGGTCAAAATAGCCAAGCTGTAGACTTGGTGAACTCTGCGCTGCTTGACACAGGGGTGTGGTACAAAAGCAAAGTCAACTGCCACTACCCACAGCTAAGAAACATAAAGCCTTCACCAACCCATCCAAGACGGTTACTCAAGTCTACCTGAAGCCAGTGACGCGCACGGGTGATCGGGAAACAAAGCTGGACTGTCATCGATAGAGGCCGTCGCAATGCGTACATACTAACACGCCGTAATATAGGACTGACACAGCCAACATGCTATTATCAACTGTAAGCATGTAAAACGCGTCATAGCGCTAATGGCCTATCTTCTTGTAGTTGCTAGCTATATACTATGACACCATCGAAACTACTCCAAAAATGGCACCTAGCGGAAACAATTAATGCCGCTTGCATGCCCTTTATGAGGCTCCTACTACGACGGGGAATTCAGAAAGGCAAGCCAAAGCAGAGCAACATGAATCTTGAGGCAGCTGTAGCACCGCAACGTCTTGAAATGGTTCGCAAGCACAGCACGGCCCATAGCTTTAACCCTGGATAGGGACAACCACAATCAGGACTTGGGTTCCCCCTTAATCAGAAACCTTCGAATCCTTGGCCGGAAAATTCCAAAGCCTAGGCCGCTTTTATGCTCTTAAGCCCTCTAGACCCCAACATCATATATCTTCTATATCCTTAAGTTCTACACCGTAGTCCCCTAAAGTCCTAAACCTTGTAAACCCTACCCTTTTGAACCTTGAGCCCCTGAACCCAACACCCCCCGGCCTCTTCAAGACTCTCGGCTGCTAAGGTTTCACCTGGGTCTAGGGTTTAGCTTTTGGAGTTGAGTGTTTCGAGTGTGGGGACTAGAGTTTAGGGTTAAGGGTTCTGAGTTTAGGGTTTAGAAGTTAGGGTTTAGGATTGAGAGCTTCGGGTCTAGGTTTAAGGTTGGGGGTTGAGGCTTATAAGGTTTAGAGCTTCAGGTTTGGGAGCTAGGGTCTAGGATTTGGGGTTTGAGGTTTGTATGGCGGGGGGTCAAAAATGGAGGATCCTTTTCTGCACATGGGAGCGTGCTTACTTATTGGGACGGCACGTTTTGGGAATTCTCATATGAGCTATAATCTAAACTTCTAGTATCCCCTTGAGAATAACCCCTATAACCCAAAAGAATCCCCTGTAGAACCCCCTTTAAGGAGTCTAGATTATAACTCGCATAGGCTAATTTAGGGTGCCCAGACCTCCTAAGCCCTAAACCCCTAAACCCTAACCCCTAAACCCTTAAGCCTTAAACCCCAAACCCCGAACCCCACACCCCCTAAACCCTAAACGCAACACCCCTGAAACCCTAAACCCTACACCCCCCAAACCCTAACCCCCACACCCCCAAGCCCTAAACCCCCCACCCCCTAAACCCTAAACCCCAAACCGGCAACAAAGCGTCCCCAAGAACATCTCAGGCACTACGACAGAACGAAATGACGGACACGATGCGCGTCCAGTTTTCGCTGGCATTCCTGATACGCAGTGCTTATATAGGTGCTCTATAGGAGTTATACCGGGGTTATATATGAGGATATAATAAAACAGGGGTTATATAGGGTTTAGGGTTTAAGTGTTCAGGGGTCTAGGGATTTAGGGTTTGGGGTTTAGTGCTGTACGCGTTGATAGTTTTGGGAGTAGAGGTTCAGGGATGGAGTAATCTTAAGATGCAACGCTGTGGATGGAGAAAAGCGCGTGCACCGCCTTACATATATATATATATATTTATATATGTATCATGTCCTATGTAGGAACTACAGAATATTGGGTTCCAGTGGCTGAATAAAGGATTTCCTCCATACACCGGAGTATAACTCTTTGCTTTTGACTGCTGATACAAATCATGTAGACGCCCGGATACCATAGAGCCCGGAAGTAGGAAAGGAAACAATTGCAGCCCAAACGAAAAGCAGCAGCAAGACCAGAGGATTCCCCGTTATAGGGCTTTATGTTGAATCATAGCGAAATACCCACAGAAGGGTACTATTGCAGGCTGGACTGCGGCCATGTCGAGGGGTGCTTGTCAGAGCCCGCGCTCAGCCGAGTCCTTTTCAAAGTTCTTATTAGGTTCCGCTGTGTGACGGAAGATTACACCGTCCCATAACCCCAATCATGCCGTTCAGCCACCATACTCTGTTGTGTAAATGCTACTTTCTCAAGATAATCCTTCTCTTGCCAGGCCCCCTATTCCCTTGTAGTCGATCTAAATCCCTGTGGTCTCCCTAGGGCCTGCTGGGAGAAACTCCAACATCCGACACTCTCTTCCCAAAATCCAAACCCCCAAGCCCAAAGCCCCAGAAATCCCCAATCAATTACTCCCTTATCGGGATCACTGATTGCCAGCAAAAAGCGCAGCATGAACCACCTTTGATGTGAGAGGCGAAAGAGCGGGGTGCGGGGAGGCAGCTTCAGCCACTAAAGTGATACATATCTTGTAGTTTCCATAAATAGGGGCAAGGGGCAGGTCCTCGGACCCTGGGGGAACAAAAGGCGCATGCGAAAGTGGGGATTCTACAGTGACATCTATTTTGAAGAATGCCCCTGCGTCACTGGATGATGGAAACTTCTACAAATGTTGTTGGATGTCAGCTCTGAGGAGGGTAGCTGCAGTAAAGGAGTCCTTCTCGAACGACCCTGCCGCCAGAGTGAAAACGTCATCCTGTCTTAACTCAACGATCCCTATCCCAATAGGGATAAAACCAAAACCCCTAAACCCTAAAACCCTCAAACTCTAAACCCTAAACACCCCAACACCCTAAAACCCTAAACACCCCGAAACCCTAAAACCCTCAAACCCCAAACCCCTAAACCCCTAAGCACCCCAAGGTTGCAATTTTAGGTATTCAGGTTCTTGACAGGCAGACTTTACCAATTGGTTCCCCCTGCTTCCTAAACTGGCCTCAGAGCCCCACGAAACATTTAGTTTTGGGTTGGTATTCGGATTGTAACAATCAAAAAAAAAGGAGGAACTAATTTTGGAGGCCCCTATAGCTTCGGGCTTGATTAGAAGGACGTTGGTGCTTGGGCATGCAATCCGCTCTCCTTCATCCTCTCGCCCTAATATTGAACCCCCCACCCCGTTTAGGGTTTAGTGAATTCAATACTCCCCATTGTGGTATATTATAGTATATTGACAGTATTTAACCTTAGGGGGTTTAATGTCATGGGAGAGGACTAATAAGACGTCCCCAGTGCACATAGGGGCTACTACGGGCAATACGCAACATTTGGGAGCGGTGGCGTGTGGAGTAGTAACGGGAGTATCGCGTCAGCCCCTTTTCGGAACATCCCTGTGTACATGGAATGAAAACATGTGCCAGCACAAGGCTCACAACTGCAAGACAAAGACTGAGAGCTTCCGAGTTTGCATGTAAGGAGCTGAGCCAAACACAAATCGCACGTGAGAGATCGGTAGAATTCTCTCTATACAATAATTGGACCAAGCCGTGAAAAACAATCGAAAACACTGAACATCTCAAAACACGACGAAACCCCGCAGTTGCACGAAACAGGGGCTTCTCAAAACCGTGGATTTTGGTCTGAGAACGGGCTCCAATCTGTCGAAGGTGCGCAACAAATTGCTGACCATGAGGCAAGCTAATACGACGCCGAAAAGATGTTATGCCAGTTTGGTTCCCCATAGAACTTCATTCTATTACGCCTACAAAGGTCTGCGTTATCCCAACCCTAGATCCTAAATGATCTATAGTCTAGACTCCTTACAGGGGGTTATATAGGGGATTATATAAGGTACTACTATATGGGTTGTTATGGGGGATGCTAGGAGTTCAGACAGTGACCCTAAATCTTTTGGGGGCCAAGGTGCCCGACTGCCCTGCATCATGTACGCCCATCCGGGACCTGGCGCGCGCACTTCGCGCTCGATGCCGGTGCCCACTTCCTGTCACCATTACCCTAACTGTCCAAGGACCCAAATAATGAGGTTTTTACCATGATATTAATAATATTTGTGCCCTAAACCCTATGATATGGGTCCTATATGCTCTTATATAATCCCTGTATATCCCCCTATAACCCCTTTAAAGGGACCCAATTATTTGGGTCCTTGGATCCTTCGGGTTAGGGTTGCAGATTCAGGGTTGAGGGTTAGCTGGGTCAGGATTGGGGGGGAGGCTAGAGCTTGAAGAGTGTCGGGGTGTCAAGAAACGGGGTTGCTGTTGAGGAACTTAAGCTAAGTTTCCATAATGGGTATAGAAAGTAGATAGTACAGTTTCCCCAATCGAGCAACTTAAATTACGTTTCTTAATAGCAACCCAGGAAAATTGCGCTCAATGGTCCCAAAACAACATCTGTTCGGCCAGGTCTTCCATCTCCCTACTTGGAGGGTCAAGGGGACTTAAGCAAGTATCCTTACAACCCCTACCATTATGAACCCACTTACTAGGTCCCCATGACCCTCCAAGTAATCCTGGGAAGTCAAAGGCAGCGGAAACCCCAACCACTGGTCCTCTGGCCTTTGGTTAGCTGGGAATGAAGGACTGGAAAAGAAAATGGAAATTACTATAATGGGGTATATACCATCCAGGGACTACTACAAGGATCCAGTCCTCCCTAAACCCTAAACCCGAAATCCCTCAATTCAGAATGGGCTGCTATCAGCATCCATTTCTTCATTCCTAACCAAAGGCCAGTCCTGGCCTCTTTGGTCAGCTCCTTCTCTCCCCCGCAAAAAAAAAACACGATGGCCATGCCAGAGTCAAGGTTTAGGATTTAGTGTGTAAAGCTGTTTATTGCAAAGGTATGGCACATAAAGAGCGTACACGTTTAGGGTGTGGACTATGCCAGTAGAAACGTACATTTGTTTGGGGGTTTAAGAATCTATCAACCCACCTCCCCCTACCTGTTAATCAACATCCCTCAACCCCCGCATGAAGCTTTCCAATGCAGTAGCCCACGTCTATGGGGTGACATATTCAATATTGAGGTTTGGGGATATTTTCATATGAAGGGGAGGGCATTACCCCACACAGCACCCAAAGAGGTCGCTAAAGCCTAAACTTTGAAATCTGCAGCGCCTCAAAGGGGTTGCAAACCTGCAGAAGCTCAAAAGGGGCGCCGGACCACTTGGAATAGGGTCTATAGGGCCTAGTACCTAAACATACTATACCGGAATCATGTAAAGTCAAGTTATAAGACCAGATAGTTCTCTAATCAGGCTTCCGGAAAAGCCCTCATGACCATTTGAAACTCCTTATACCGCCCGCAGCTTGTCCTTCAAGAGCGTGCCGCCGCCACGCCCGTCCTGCGCATGAATTCAGGGGTATACAAGGGGAAGAGGGCCCCATGACCCGCCCAGGGTTTACTAAATAGTAGTTTCCATGTCCTTCACCATGTTCTTGTCCATTTGATTTTCCATTATTCCTATACGCCCCTTCATGTCGCTACGTACTCAACTCTAAAGTTCCCTGCATAAAAGGAGTTAAGCCTTAGGCGGAGGGCAAAGGCTTCTGCGCGGCTGTCTGCCTCTCTTGCAGAAAATGAACCTTCAACCGCCTCAAAATTAAAAATTTCCAATGTGGTATACTATAATCTATGAGGAAAATCAATTTGTTTGGGGGGGAGGTTCTGATTGAAGAGGCCTTCTATTTCTCTAGGGAACTTGTGTCCAAAACCCGGATCGCTGCTTCCTCGAGCCTCAGCCGCCTGTGATTTCCGACCGTACGCCCCCACGCGGTTTAGGGTTTAGGGTCTAGGGTTTCAGGTTTAGGGTCTAGGGATTTCAGGTTTAGGGTTTAGGGTTTCAGGTTTAGGGTTGGTTTTCCTAGCAGAACAAAGGCGCTACATGGCAGATTTCTCAAAGGAATCCTATGCAGTGCAAGGAGTTTGACGGCACCGCCATAATGCAGGGAGGTCGACGAGGGTGTAGAGGTATATTAAACCAGTACGATGTAGCATGTTCCGTTATTTGGACTCCTAAATTATGTCACTGGCACCTCTGAATCTAATGACCCAGGCCTTTTGACGCGAGATTGATGCTTCCCACCCTCAAACCCTGAACCCGGAAGCCTAAGCCCTAACCTAGGCCCTATAGCCCTAAAACCTAACCCCTAAACCCCTATAGCCTATAGCCCTGTAGCCCTAATTCCTGCGGTCCTCCGGGATGTCGGAGAGGTTTACCAACAGCACAAAGTTGTTGGAGTCATTGTGCCAATCAAAAACTTTGGTTGCCTCTCAGAACACAATCCAGGGTTTCAGTTGGGGCTCAAGAGACTTAAGACATAACGGAAGGATCCCAGTGGATCGTAAGAGGATGTTTGACCCTACTTACTCTTGTTGCCGCCCCAAGCAGATTCCACGTAAGAGCGGTGATCGTGGTCGCCCTTTTGAAGCCCAAATTGCAGGGTCTTTATCAGTCCCTTTCCCATAATGACCAAACCCACACACAACATCATCAGCAAATATAATCTAAACTCCTAGTATCCTCTTTAATAGCCTCTATAGAAGTCCTCCATACAACCCCCTTTAAGGCGTTTAGACTCTAGGTTAGATGCTTTCACTTGTATGCTTGCCTGAGGAATTCTTACTCTTACCTAGGGTCCAAGGACCCAAATTATAGGACTTTAGGGCCAAAATACTACAATATTAATGGCTTGCCCACCTTCGGAACCTGAAACCATGAGGGTTGAGGGTTAAGGGTTCAAGGTTAAGGGTTTAGGGTTAAGGGTTTAGGGTTAAGGGCTTATGGTTTGGGGTAAATCCCAAACCCTGGACCCTGAAACGCCCAAAGAGAAGGTTGTTCAGAACAATGGTCCCCTGATTATACTTGCTTAAGAGGAGGGGATTGGAGATGCTGTTTGAGCCCCTAAGCCATGTAGGGCCTAGTGCTCAGGGGTAATTGGGGATTGTAAACAGACACTACCGGTCACACCTCGGGCTCCCAAAGTGCCCCCTCCACTTATTCACTCATAGACCGGAGAGAATTTAGGGTTTAGGGTTTAGGACATAGGGTTTTAGGACTGCTGGATGAGGTAGTTGCAAGCTTTGAGCCCTGAAACTCGGAGCAGATTTGCCTCCATCTGAACCTCCCTAAGGGTCCAAGGAGCCAAACAATAGGGCTTTAGGGCCCAAATATGATCATATTAATGGTATTTGGGCCCTAAAACCCTATTATTTGGATCCTATGTACCCTTATATAATCCCTTATATTATCCCTATAACCCCTTTAAAGGGACCCTAGTATTTGGGTCGTTGGACCCTTAGGGCCTTCCACCACGAAAACCTAAACCCTCCCTGGCCTCCCTCCCCTTCATCTGGATGTTGGTCATCATGTGCTCCACTTTGAAAGGATGCCACCTCTGGGATGACATTGGGTTTATCTTGGGGTTATGTATGGTTAAACATAGGGGTTATACTGGGGTTATATAGGGGCTATATTGGGGTTATATAGGGGTTATAGGAAGATAATGGAAATAAAATGGAAACTACTATTTATACCGTTTAAGCGACAGCGAAGACAACTTAACCTCACTCGCGAACACCCTATGCGGAGTCTGGCAAGGGACTATCGGCTCCTGCTAAATCCTAAATGCTAAACTGAGAGGTTTGGGGTTGAAGGGTATCCACCCGAGGTAACGGTTGTCCTGTATCCGGAGGGCATGATGGTGGTGCTGGCTAGTAGGGAATGGATGCCTTTACTAGTAGTTACTAGCCCCTATGTCCCTCTGTAATCCCTGCCAATGATTCCTGCAACCCATTTCTTCATCCCCTACTAGCCATCCCAAACGTAAAGCCCTAAAACCCAGTAATTTGTTGCATTGGCTGTCCAAGCTGCATCAGATCACAGCCGACTAGCTTTGAGCAGGCCAATAGCATGTCATCAGATTCGCTCATCTGTCCTTACTGCGGTAGGTTTGGGTTTGTAGGACATATTGCAGTTACTAGTATTACTACTATTACTGCTATTAACTATTACTGTTACTGTTGTGTTATGATTACTCTTGTGCTGCTTATCTAGAGCAGTCGGACCGTTGCGATGACGTCAAGGCTTCGGGCTTAGGCTGCAAGCTGCGTCCGTTCAGCTCAGGAACACTGGCCAGAAGGGGTGCTATGTAACGTGTTTTACGGCTTAGGGAGTTTGAAGTTTCATTAGTGAGCTTTGTAGGGTTTAAGTTTGATGTTTCAGCTCGAGCAGGAACAGAGCATGGGAAAAGGCCAGTGTCTGACCCCGGGGCCACACTACGAGGCTTAGGGCAGCCGTGCTGGCTGGAAATAACACGTGATTCCAGCACAAGGCTTGCAAAGACCTCCAGGAACCAAATAGAATGCAGGGCATAGCCAGCATGGGCAGGCTTCAATTATGAGGAACCTGGAAGTGCAAAACGGTGGCAGCTGTGAACCGAAGACTGGTAGGAAACTCCAGAGCAAGACCTTGCGCAAAGGAGGGATTGTTTGCTCACGGCCGTTCAAGCGGAATAGGCGCATATGCCAAGTGATGCCATCAACCGCCCCTAAAACCGACAAAAGCAAGGCATCAGCCTCCATAGGCAAGCCGCGGAACCCTCCATCCTGCACCCTTTACTCAGGTAGGTTTGGGGGGCCCCCATAAGAATTCAATGTATATGGCTTTATAAGGATTATATAGGCGTTAAGGTAAGGGTCATAAGGAAGTATAAAAATTATCTTCAAACCTACCCCTGATTACATCGTGAACCGAGGTTCGTATGAACTTGTTGTGGGCCGCCATGTTCCGGATGGTCAGGGGCACCATAGGACATGAGTAGTAGCCTCTGTTGCCCCGATGCTTCAGCCCAACCGGGATGGTGTCCCTCTAGCACTGCGTACAATCTATCTCACATGAATTACTCAACTGTTTTACAGGGATTCTTTGGGGGGTTCCTGGGGCTGTTCGGCGTATCCTACCCGGCAAATTCTTCAAATGTCAGGGGGGGGTGAAGACTATCTACTCAACATAACGGACCCTTCGAAGCCAACAAAGCGCTACTCCTTCCTAATCTTATAGGGGTATGATTTAGGTTATAATATAGGGTTATATAGGGATAATGGAAAAGAACAAGGAAACTACTATAGTAGTAGCCCAGTTTCCTTGTTTTCCGAAGATCTTGCGTAACAGCAACCCTAAACCTCTGTTTCCATGTCATTTTCCATGTTCTTGTCCATTTGATTCTCCATTTTTGTGGTAAAAGGGACCTAGGGCTTCATTTCATTCGCCATTTGCTTTTCCATTTGATTCTCCATTATTGGGGTATAACATCCTATAAACCCGTATATACCCCTTAAAAGGGCCTAGGGTTTCATTTCATTCTGCATTTTCTTTTCCATTTGGTCCTCCAGTATTCTTAGGATCGCTATCATAATCCCCCTACACCCTAAACCCTAAACCACGAAGCCAAGCCGCAGTTCTCCAGGACTGGCTTCGCAAGAATGGCCTCCCGGTACAGTCGAAGGCCCTCCTGCGAAGGAGTATGTTGCGCAGATTGAGCAAGCTATATCATGCTGGTCTCTTGGCATGACTGGCATGTGTAATATTGACGGTAGTCTAGCCCAAGCTTAAACAGAGAAACCCCAAACCTCCAAAGCCATAACGACCCTAAACCCTAAACCCTAAACCCTAAACCCAATTCAACCCTTCTTGGTCAATGAGGGTTGTAGCGGCCAACGGCCTCGGTCCGGGCCGGGCAGGACAACGCGAATGTACAACACAAAATGGTCGTCCCGATGTCCACAGGTCAGAGATCCCAAAATCCTAGGGCTCAGGGTCTATAAATAATGCCTAGATTAGGCCCTGGAGCAGAAAATGCTACACATGCTGTTGGCGTTTTCCCAAACTTGGGAGTGGTCCTCGTCCCACATCCCAAACAAGGATTCCCCACCTCTGGAAACCCTAAACCCTAGACCCTCAGAGAACCCTGAAACCTGGACCATCCTCGGAGAGTAGCTGGAACGGCTCAGAATAAGCGAAATCAGTCTCCCCTGGTGCCACCTGCAGCGGTTTAGGGTTTCCGGTTTAGGGTTTGTTGGGTACCCAAAAAAGCTCCAGTCTCGGGTCCTTTCGGGCACTGGTGTTCCACCTACATGAGCTAGAGTCTGAACTCCTGAAAAGGGGTTTATATAGTGGATTATATAAGGGACTATTTATAGGGCTTATTAGGGGGGATGCTAGGAGTTTAGGGTATGGCTCATGTACTTGAAGCCTAATACGGAACGAAAGATGGAGGACAAGGGGCAGAAGTCAAGTCACAGCAACTGCTTTCCAGGACCCTTGTATCTCGTGCTCTTGCAGAGTGTATACGCCCTTGATGGCCCTGCTTTGCTGCCGCAAAAAGTTGCTGATTCTTATAGCTCCCCTCTTAAGTACATAGAATATGGCTTTGGGTATATCTTAATAAGATTCCCATATACCCCATATTCTATCTAGTTAAAGGGGACTATAACGGTCAGGGTGCTGTAGGGGACCTTTGCCTTGATGGTGGTCGGTGGGGAGTGAAGGAAAGGGTTGTAGTGACACTGAAGGGGAGTACTACAGGTAGGGAGTGCTACAGGAGCCTACATAATTACCAATATCATTTGAAGTCCATTTGAGGTGCCATATACTATAATTATACAGTGAATATGGAAACATAACCTTGGTAATTCTTCAGGCCCCTATAGTATGGTAAGGCGATCCATTCCTGCATTCCCTACTATAGCCACCATTTATATGTTACACTATCGACCAAGTAGACACTCGGGTTCGGGGAGCGACCGATGATGACGATGATAGTGATGACGGTGTAGCAGGAAAAGGGATGATGATGATGATGATGATGATGATTGTGATGATGATGGCGGTAATGGTGATCATGATGATGATGATGATTGTGTTGACGGTTCAGACAGTATTTGCGAGGATGCTACCGACGTGATCGCAAAAAGAAAACAGTGATCACGGCGGACATTGCTGCTTCGACATGCTGAGCCTTGTGAATGGAACCTCGTCAGTACGATCAGAAACCCGGAAATAATGCAGCCCAAACACTTTCCACAACTGGAAGAAATCTACTTACGTATGAAATGCATCTCCATCATTCTCCACACATAGCGGCTTCCCGCGCAGCTTGCAGCTCAGAAAACAAACCACTGAAGCCGTAAATATCTCTCCGAACGCAGTTTCGGATACAAGCATCCCCCTTTCCCGAAGGGTCCAAGAACCCAAAAAATAGGGTTTTAGGGCCCATTACCATAAATATCATAATATTGGGGCCGTAAAGCCCTATTATTTGGGTCCTGGGACCCTTACATTTTTGCAAACCTCGCTACGGCAGGCCCGAAACTGAAACCATCAGCCTCTGCGCATCACAAGCCTCTACCGTTCTATCTCCCTGCGCACTATACTGGGTTGCTGCTTAGGAACTGAATTTACTTTACCACCTTGGGGGCACGCGGCCCCTCCCCCCTCCCCCCCGTCCCACACCGCTCCCACTGCTACATGTCAGGTCTGCCTCTACACCACATTCTTCTCGGGTCAGGAAAAATTCAGGATCTACCAAGTAGCGGTGAATTGCACTTAGGGACTTGCAGCTTCCGACCCTGGACCGCTCCTTGAGGCCGGTTCTACGGCTCTCAAAGCTTGCGAACTCCCCCACTCAAGGCTGAGGACTAAGCCCAGCCAACCCATTCCATGAACAGCATGCAAACAGGCACGTCGGAAGTGAGGCTTGCCTCCGTTACCCCCTCGACCCTCAAACCCCGTGTCAATCACATGCCATGAACCGTTTGTGTGCTCCGCGCCCTGCCAGCCGAGGCTGTGTGTATATATATATATATATATATGGGTATAGTGCGTTTAAGAGCTGGCTTTTTCAGGCTGCCTAGACCTACTATGTGCTTACGTAACCATGCCAACGGAATCCATGCCCAAACCTTAATAACGTCCGTGCTCTAATTGCATGCGTTTCCCACAGCATCCATGCCCAAACCATAATAACGTCCGTGTTCCAATTGCATTCGGTTCACAGAGCATCCATGCCCAAACCATAATAACGTCCGTGTTCTAATCTGCACCGAAAGCCCACGCAAAGCTCTTAAACGCACTATACCGATATATATATATATACATCCCCATTATGGTAACTTAATGCAAGTTCCTTATCAGCAACCCAGTATAGCGAAGTAAAGGAAGCTGATGGTCTGACGTTCACATCATAAACAGCAGCTCTCTTGCTCTGACTTTCACTCTGGAATGCTTGAGATGCTGCCATCTCTTTATCGCGCACCATCCCGATCCTACTCACGCATATAGGACATCACTTGAAACAATACAAAGCCCTAAACCCTAAACAACCTAAACCCCCTAAACGGTGTGGTCCAAGACCCTCCAACCATCCTCGATTTTGGCCCAACTGCCCTATGCCCTCAAGTAAAAGGTACTTGGAGAGGTTGCGAAGATCGGCCTCGTAGCCCATCTCAGTCAGCGTGTGCACTCGTATTGATGCCTTGGCCCATCAAATGCAGCTGAAACCCTAAACCCTCAATAGCAGCTTCCATTTTCTTTTCCATTCTCCCAATATGACCCCTGTATAACCCCAATAGAACATGCAAGTGACTCCAAACTCCCTGAACTTCAACCCTGACAGCTCAGGAAAGCTGCGGTCGCTCTTGTATTGCCCAACCGCATCTTATATTGCCTAATATAGACCCCTGATTAAGAAACTCCCTCCTTTTGAGGGCCTCAATATCAGGATCCCTATTAAAATCCCTATTAAGGGCAGGGGGTTTGTTAATCAGGGGTCTGGGTTAGTTGCAACACGGTAAGCACTAAACAGATGGACACATCTTCCCCAAACCCTACAGCGAGAGGTGGAGGGACAACTACATCATTACAAGGCAGCTGTGCAAAAAGGCCGCAAGGTTTTGTGTTAGGTTGTGGGCTTGGTACTGGGGATTGCGTCCAATCTTGCGAACTCGGAGCTGGATGTGATCTTTATCACATTGAATGCCGGACTAAATCTCCTGAATAACCCGCAGACCACGGGAAATATGATGAGGGCGTGCCAGGGATTCTAGCCAGCTCCGATCTACTGGTAGTTAGTAGACCAGCGGAGAAGCATCATTCCAAGTCCCAAAAGACCACCACAATCCTCAAAACGCGTGCAAGGAAACCACAAACTTGTAAGGAAACCGTGGGCCCTGAACTCCTAGATCGATAGTCATCTGGGTCGCTGTTAAGGAACTTAATCTAAGTTACCATAATGGGTATATCTAGTAATTAACCCTAACAGCAACCCCATCAGTTTTAAGTTCACTCGCCGCGCGACAAGATCACGAGCGGACAGCTGCATGTGACGGGCAAAGTCGAAATCTGCACAGCGAATTTGGATTTCTCAAAATGTGTGTGCTCTAAGAGACCTTGGAGGTATGTTGGGGGTTGCAAGGTTAGTGGCTTGGAGCTTAGGTTTAGGGCTCTATGCGCTGGGTACAGCATAAATGCTCCACGCATTGGATTGGAGGGTCTGAGGTGTATGGAAGTTCCTGTGTAGTCCAGGCTTCAGCAGACAATGCAGGCATGCAGAATACTCCGTGAAAATGGCTTTGGAAAATGATCGTGTCAGTGCTTGACACGCCAAGGAAATCCTTCAGGTATATAGACGTAACATGTAAGCCTACCATACCGCGACCCGATCTACATGAAATGATCATGAAGCAGCAGTATGCGAATAGTGCAGCGTAGGGTGTCTGATTGACCTTTTGGTCCTTACCTTGCTTATCATTTCTGACGCGAAGAGAGCAAAGAGCATCATAAGATCATGTACTGTAAGTACTTTCCCATGAACCGAGAAATCGTGAGCTCAACCCATTCCCTTACGCCAAACTATCGGCAATGGCTTCACAATCCCAGGAAAATCCTAGTTAGAACTATCCCTCCAGTCGTCATTCCTATTGCCGTAGGAAGAAACATGATCCTTCCTGCAGAAACATGCAGAAACATAAGATTTCCCATGCCTCAGAAAGGATCCTAATCATGTTGACCTAATGCTCCACAGAAAAGTACCATCACTAGAAGCGCCCACGCGGCCCTGAACAATACCGCCTGGGTCCTGTGTCGAAAATGGGCTTGTCCTCTGTAACTTACAGGACTGAGGTGTGCGGATCAGGAATCAGAAGTCAGGGTCGAGGGTATGGGGAGTAGGGTTAGGCTGTATAGAACTTAGGATTAGGATCTAAGAGTTCAGATGACACCGAGAATGATCGAAATCGTGACTGCACGACTTTTGAGTGGGTACCCGAGGAGCCCCATACCCTTTAATTAGGGAATATAGCGGAAAAAAAAACATATTAATGACCCTAGTACCGTTTAGGGTGTATTCCTTAATTAAGGGGTATTGGGCTCTCAGGGTAATGATGGTAGCAGACGGAACTCAGGCTCACGAGTTGAAAATAGAAGCAGCTGGAATTACCCTAAGGTCCCAGGACCCAAATAATGGGGTTTAAGGGCCCAAATATCGTTCCTATTATAGTAATTGGGCCCTAAAACTCTATTATTTGGGTCCTTGGACCCTTAGGCTTATAGTTCTCCTCCTCATATTCTCGTTTGTTGTTGAAGCTGCCATGACAGTTATGTACTAGACAACCTCTACATCATAATCCCCGCTCGCAGCAGGGGGGCCCCCCGATGTACCCGTCTTCATGATAGGTGATTCGCTACTCATAGCGAAGGGGTGCCTTGGGGCTTCTGGCGAGGAGGAACTCGGATTCAACCACCCACTCGTTGTTGTGGGGTTCGTGCGCCACCATCTAGATGATGCGTGGCATTATGGCTTGACGGGTTTCTGCAAAGCCCCAAACCGCCATAATTTATAGCTTGATCCCTATGCAAATCCCTATGGTAATCTTATAGTCTCCATGTATCTGTAAGGCAGCCTGTCCCTGTTTTCCAAGGTTTAGGGTTCAGGGCTTAGGGTCTAGTCCCCAAACTATAAACCCTTGTTCTCAGCCGTTTCTGAGAAACGCCTCAACTCGACAATTGGAGCTTCAAACTCCGAACACCCCTTCATGAAGGAGCTGCCATAAGTCTTAAGTGGTTTCCTTCGGAATCAAACTAGACATGCTGCCCACTCTTCTTATACTCCAATACCATGCAGAAGACTACAGGTTCAATCACATGGGGGGGGGGTTATGTTGGAGTGTAGGAAAGATGTACCACGTTGCGTGCACCCAAGCGTGGGTCCTTTCGAAGGTGGTGCCGGTCGGCATGCTGGGCTGCAAGCCTGTGTCCAGCTTATGGGCGTATAGGGGCGTAGGGTTTAGGGTGTAGCTCTGTCCCAAGCCGTTAACAGTCCATAATACTGCGCTAGTTAAGGGCTCTATATAGTCATATTGTGAATAGGATCCCGCTGGGGCAGTATCCAAGGTGTATAGCCATACGGAATACACTGGCCAGTAGCGCTTAGGTTTTAACGGTTTAGGATCACTATTAACTTCAGCTCCAACTTTCAAACCCTAACGTGCGTGACTATTTGTAGGATTGTGACTTTTGCGCCAGGTTTCTGGTGTGAAAAAGTTGAGCTTTCCTCAAGATTGCAGAGAGTCACGCACTAACTGTTTCCCTGAACACTGAACCCATTCAACGTGCAAGGGTTGGGATGTTGAAGGATGACTGCGAGCACATGGTTTGGGGCCGTGGCCATGCATCTTGGACGAGGGTATGGCCTAGGGTAAAACATAAGATACATAATCTGTAGGCCCTAAGATTCCGGGTTTAGGGATTCAGCCAAGACATTCATCTAGCAGTGGTACACTGAAGCCAGCTATGGCTTCCCCAAAATGGCCCTGGGGACCCCAAGAGAGGTACAGGAATTCTATGGGGGTATAAGGGGGGCCCCTGTCAGGATTCTCCTGCGTATTTCAATACAGCCCTGAACCCCTTAACCCTAAACCCCTAAATCCTGAACCCCTAAACCCTAAACCCCTTGACCCTAAACCCCTAAACCCTCTTGTATATGACAGCATCTGAGGATCCCTTAGAGCACAATGAATACGCTCCACTGGGTTGCTGTTAAGGAACTGAAATTAAGTTTACCATAATGGGTATATAGATATATAGGGTATATAGGGTATCTAGGATTTAGGGCTTAAGTTACCAGAATGGGCATATGTAGTAAATATCTAGGGTTTCCCCAAATTAAGCACCTTAACAGCAACCCAGTATAATCCTTGGTGATGGGCAAGTATTCAATACGTAGGAGACAGGATCATTCGTTCAAGCTAGTGCCCTAAGATAGCCCATAAGTTGAAGTCTGTTTTGGGCAACTACTTTTACGAGCCCACCCCCTAAACCCTAAACCCTAGACCGCAAAGGCATCCTTAAACCCGAGGGTGTGCACCCAACTTTAAACAATGTAGCACCGTAAGCCCCTTAACCCTAAGTAGCCTCTTCCGTCAGCCGCAGAAACATCAGCACCTCTCAAGTTTAAAGCACGGTAATTATTTAATATAACCCCAAAATAACCCTGATATAACCCCAATCTACTATAGCAGTTTCCATTTTATTTTCCAGTATCCCTATATATAACATCTGAACATATCTGAACCCCAAGCCACAGCAAACTTTGTACGGCCCTGTCCTTGCACCATGGCAGATTTCGATCGGCGAGCCGGGATCCTTTGAACGTGAAAGGAAGGTTCCAGGAGTTTGGGAAATGGGGCTTTGGGCTTTGGGTTTAGGAGTTTCGGAGGTGGGGCTTTAGGTTTTGGGCTCCATGAGTTTAGGGTTGAGGGTTCAGGGTTGAGGGCTTGGGGTTTAGGAGTTTGGGAAGTGGGGCTTGAGGTTTTGGGCTTGGGTTTGTGGGCTTAAGGATTTTGAGGCAGTACTTGGAGTGGCTAAGTCAATGGCTTGCCGTTCACGCTCTCTGATTACAGGTTGAGGGTCTAGAGTCAGACTCATCCAAAGTAGATATCAGGACGCACATCATCTCCATGGAGAGCTCTCGCAAACAAAAATGAAACAGCACAATAGAACCAGAGTTTGGGGGTATGCTGTCATATTTGACGATCTGAAAGGCGTGTAATGGAAGAATGTCAGGAATTGTTCCGACTTCCCTACATGGCAGGCAACCTCTAGAATGGCCCTAGGAAGAAAACAGGTTTGTAAAGTCATGCACCATATGATTTTCCTTTGCTTCTCCAGTACTGCTAACTCTAAACTAAACCCCTGAGGGTCCAGGGACCCAAATAACAGGGTTTTAGGGCCCAAATACCAGGAATAATATTGTATTTGGGCCCTAAAACCCTATTATTTAGGTCCTTGGACCCTTAGGGAACTCTAAGCCCTAAACCCTCAATCCCTAAACCCTCCATCCCTAAACCCTAAACCGCGTGGGTCTAACGTTCGTGGAGTGGTGTTGCAGATGCCAGGTTCTAGGCTCCCCAGGTACCCCTGATTAGTAAGGCAACCCTTTTTCCTACTGTTCTGTTTTAATAAGGAGACCCCTGACCCAAAAAAGGTTAAAAGGGTACGGGTATGGGTCTAAGGCTTTAGGCTGCCGGCTGCTGGCATGTCTGCATGATCTTATTGGGGTTTGAGGCATTACATCACTTGCTAAGAGTTAGTAGGGAATAGGGAGAATATAATGTATGGTTTATAGGGATTTGGGGCAGCAAAGGGGGTCGGATGAACTTTGTTTCTCTCAGTCTCTCTCTCTCTCTCTCTCATTACTAACCCTAAACCCTTGAAACTTCAGATGTAGGGATGGATAGCAGTCTGCACACGAACATACCGTCTAGCAGGAGACTGACTGCCCAAGGGCTCCTATGTAGTTCTTTTTTGGGTCTGTTATGCTTTTTTGCTAAGGGATTATAATGTGTTACTACCCAAAAAGGAACTACATTGGAGGGTCTGGGTATGCTTCCAAAAAAACGACCCTCATGATCGCAAATAGGCCCCCGCAATACAAGGCCTCTTATAAAGGAGAAGATCTTGAACCCTAAGCCCCAAACCCTAAACCCCTAAACCAATATTTTGAATTTTTGGGTATGGGCTAAGATTAGGAAGAGACTATCCGCCTAAAGACACATAGTGGGTGACCCATCATCTTGCGAAGCCTATGGTCCCCCTGAAGTAGATGAAATATGGGGTATACGGGGATCTTATTAAAATATACCCAAAGCCATGTTCTATCTGCTTAAGGGGGACTATAGGAGATGGAAGGTGTAGGGAGCAGGTATTTTGGACTGCCTACTTAAACCTTAAAGTCGAACTCTGTGCGGGTAGTGCTGAAGAATAGGATTTGCTTCCATTCACCTCCCAAAATGTCGCACTCCTTTGCGGGAACCTCACAATATAGATCTTCATCTAAATCCCAACCTACAATCCTAAAGCCGAAATTTCGGCCCAAGACGCTGTAGGGTGCTTGAAAGCACCCGAGAACTGCTTCGCAGGCATCTTGGGAAAACCTCATCATTTGAAAGTTCAAGCTATAGGCTCGCTGAGCGTGATTGAACCAAAGGGATACAGGACAAATGCTTTGAGGGTTGCGTTCCAGGTTTTGGTTGAATTGCAGAGTTTGAGCTCTACATCGTAGGCTATCAGAAGGTCGCACATACTTACGCACAAAAAACGACTCCACATGGAGCTCGGCTGGATATTCCTCGACGAACAACTCGTTAGGCCAGCATGTGCTGCATGCACAGCAGCACTTGGGATTCACCGCCACCATCCGGGTAGCCAGGTAGTTCAAAATCCATTTAAGGGGGTTCCAAAACCGAACTCGGCACCATAGCACAAGCAAAACTGTATCAAACAAACATAACTCACTCCGAATCGTGTTGCCTAAGAGTACATGAGGCTTGCATACAACTATTCCAATGCCTCTTGACAGAAGCCCTACTGTAAAAATGGGCCCTACTGTAAAAATGGGCCATGAAGGCTTCCACAAACGAGATCTTCGTTACATTCCATCCGCTGCTCAAATTTTGTTTGAAGGGGCCCAGAAGGGCTTGGGGGCCCCCTTACACGGCCCCCAATTTGAGGATGTTGACATGGATGAACATCCCTGCCCTAAACCCTAAACCCTACTGAGCTGGCATAAGCCACAGCGAATGGGGCCTGCCACCAAGCTCGCACACCGGACAGTTGTGGGGAGCATCCTACGGATGTTGAAGGAACCCATTGGTTTGGGTTTTTAGGGTTTTTGGAGTCTGGGTCTAGGGTTTAGGGTTGTTGGTTTAATTAGGGCTTAGGGTTTACCTGGACCCCAACAATAGGTAAAATTACAGTCTACAACCCCAAAATGACTCAAAGTCCATATTCTACATATGTTTAGTGTGCCTGGGGTTCAGCCTGTCTTGCCAGTGCTCCGAGGAAAGCGACCTCAAGGATGCATAGTGGCAGCCCTTAAAGCTCCGTACCAAGCTAGACTCTGAAACCTTATCCCCATGACCTGGAAACACACACGCTTGCATCCCCAGTAACACCCTACGCCCCTAATCTCAATGCCTTAAACTGGTATAGCCGCGGCGCTGAACGACAAGTCAGCATAGATGCCTGCAGCGAATTCTTCGAGCTTAGGGACCATCTGGAAGGATCTTCGGGTTCACCCGAACCCCCAAGTTGACCTCTATAGTCACCCTACTGCCCGTAGGCCGGACCCCTAAGTTGACCCTAGTGCCTACTATCCTGGACCCTAAGATCGCCATTTGAGCTACGACCAATGACTCCCAGATAGATCATGGACATGGGAACAGATTAGGGATGCACGAAAGTATCAAAGTGACCCCCATGTCCACCCTGAATGGTCAATGGTCCTTAACCCTAAGGGTCCAAGTACCCAAATAATAGGGTTATAGGGCCCAAACACCATTAATATCATAATAGTGGGGCCCTAAAACCCTGTTCTTTGGGTCCTTGGACCCTTAGGGTAAGCAACCCCAACATTGACAGTATCTGTTTAAGGTACTTTGGCGTCTTTGGGTCAGGCAGAGGTTCTGAGGCCAATGGACCCCAAGTTGCAACATGTCCCGACTACTTGGGGGGTCAAGGGGACTTAGTAAGTATACTTATACTTATAACCCTTATAAGCCATGTAATTACCCCAGTTATCCCCATTATTAACCCAGTTACTAAGTCCCCATGACCCTCCAAGTAGATCAATGACAGGCGCAAGAAAATGTGCTCCGACCCCAAGACCCCCACCTTTCTAGCTTACACTCTAGGACTCCCTTGCATCACCCTCATTTAACCACAGCAAGGGAAGTCCAAACACCAATGTTGCTTCTCATATGCGGAGATGCATGTGCGAGAGGGGACACATTCCAATGGCCTGGGTTTCCGTAAATACTGGGCCCCAACCCTTTTGATGCGGACCTCCGAAAAGCATCCCCAACATTTGAGCCCCTTCCCAAATCTTGCTGCAAATCTGTTTGATAGCGGTTTATCATGTCTGATGGTGTTCTTCAAGCTTCAGTCCTTTTGCCTCAACACATGCTTTACAGTATTTGGCAAATGCTTCCTTGAAGCGGCTCCTGATTCGGATAGTATTGGAAAGTGCGGCTTTATATTCCCGATTGGGTTTAGAATGCAAAAAAAGAACATCAATTTCAGTAACGACCTAGTGAAGACTGGGCCCCTCTGATCCCTTCCAAACGAAAGTCCGTCCTGTAGATTCGTAGTTATGTAGGATTTCGAGTTTCGGGCTCACGTGCTTAGAGAAGCAATGGGGGAATCAGTTACAGAGCCTAGCATAAGGATTATGTAAGGACTGCTACAAGAATCCATTCCTACATTCCGGACGAAACAACCTTGTTGGGATACGCTTGAACGAATGATTATCCTTGCCACTGGTTTTGGGCTATCTCAACTGACGGCGCCGAAACAAGCATGTTGGCATTTCTCACTGTAAAGGGGAACCCAACGTCATGTAACCCACTTGAAGGAAGCCAGACAGACAGGGACCCATGTTTTTCGACACCCAGGAAGCCGAGCGTTAAACAAAACCTGTGTTCAAGAAATGCTTTCTTTTGAGAACCCCGGACTTTGAATTGTTGCGCCCGCACCGTGATGCCTGGTCTGGTAAGGTTGGGCCTTGCGGCCAGGAAGATGGACCTAAGCTGGAAAGTTGTCACAGCTATGTCCCCAAACCCTAAACCCTAACTTGGGGACCGAGTATAAAACCAGCTGAGCTCTTGAGAATTAACATGGTGTGGGGGGGGGGCGACCTAACTCATGAGGAAGTTTATTTGAGGGGAAAACTACTTGTGGGCACTTATAGAGTATGGTCTAGCTTTATCCGAAATCGAGGTCCAGCAATAATTACCTTTCTCCTAGCCAAACTCGGCATTGATGATTTCAATGTGGCTGCTAGGGCTATCTCGAGGCGATGGAATCTGAGCCCTAAACTCTAAACCCTGAAACCGCCCCTGACAGCAATTTCCATGGCAGAGTAGGGGGCTGAGAGGGGGACCGGCTTCAATGCTAAGGGGCTTAGGGTTGAGGGTTGGGGGTTTAGGGTTTCTGGGTTTAGGAGTTTAGGGTTGCTGGGTTTTGGAGTTTAGGATTTCTGGGTTTAGGAGTTTAGGGTTTCTGGGCTGTATCGGAATCAGGGCTCGCGTCGCCATGCAGCTCTCCAGCTTTTGGAGGTTTGAAAAGAGAGCCTAATTTTGACAAATTTCCACCAGCCGTTGGAACCTCTCCTGCAGGTCTGCATTCAAGATGGAGGGGAACAAAATTAGGGTTTATGGTGTAGGGATGGGCTTCCGACAAGTCAAAACTAAATCCTAACCTCCAAGCCCCATACCCCAGACGACCCAGAATCTATCCACTCAAGCTCTACCGAGAATTCGATGAATACTCTTTGCGCTGCGGTTAGCAACGGCTAACTAGCATACAGCATACATATGGCTAGCTATAACCTCCGAACCTGCAGGCAAGGACAAGAGAATGGATATCACTAAAGCCTAAACGCTAAACCCAAGAAAATCCCGGTAGCAGGAATTTTCACGCCCTACCACCCCAAAGCCCAAAACCGAGACCCTAAACAAGTAGGGTTTAGGGTTTAGGTTTGAGGGCTGTTGCTGTTCTATTTGCCATTCTTCAACTCACTGCCAGGACGCTCCTTTTCCCTTTTAATCAAAGTATATGGTCCCTATCTCGGGTATACAGAGGGTAGATGGAGGGTCTACGTACTAACCAACTATAGGTTCACCAGTAACCCCCTAACAATAAGGATAACCCTTTTTTCTACTATTCAGTTTAAGGAGGCCCCCAAATAAAAAGGGAAAAGGGTACAACTGGGGCACCTAACCACCCATGAGAAAAGAAAGGTCTAGGGACTCTCAGCTCGTCAGCGGCGCTGCCCGCAGGGGCACGCAGGCCGAAAGTGCGGACTTTTGAGCCCAGAAATGGCTCCATACGTTCCTTACGGGGGCTTGGGGAATAAGGGAGTATACTTTCGGGGGATTAGATTGTAACACTGATTATATTCCCTTATTCCCTTCCAGGCCAGCAAGTTTCGGTGGCACGGGTATGGTTGAACTCTGCCCAAGTATGCCCAAGTCATACAAACGGACCCCCACCCCACATAAACTCTACGAAAACATCATTCTTCCCCGTCGCATTGAAATGTACCTGGGTCCTTGGGCACCTGCTGCTTTGTGTTTCCTTGATTTGGGAACAGCAGGTTTTCTCCAAAAGGGTGCCTGCTTATTAAGGGGCTTATCAGCTCCGATGGCACAGGGTTTAGGGTGAAGCAGAACAGGACTACGATGTTGAGTTAGTTGACATTTCAGAGCGGGTGGTTTAGAGTCTAGCTAAGAGCTTTCGAGAATGGAAATCTAGAAAGAATCACGTTCCGGCGAAGAGTCTACAGAGCCCTTGTAAATTCACGCCAGTTGATGAAGCCTCGTGCAACAAGCTCTGCGGGTAAGCTTTGGAAGCCAGTGTCTAAACTCTACAGACTCTGCACCCCAAACCCCTTTACCCCAAATCTAAGCACCCCAACCCTAAGCCCAAAGCAAGCCTCAACGCCCAGCCCAACAAAACATCCTAAACCCAACACCGCTCCGACCGCTCTTGCCACCGAAGCTAGAAGTCACCTCGATGTTGCTTAGGGTTTAGGGTTTGGGGGCTAATACCTTTGCGAGACGCACTTCTAGCATGTGATCGTTTGTCAAAACCATTGGTCCGCTCAAAGAGGCTGCTAGGATTCTGTAGAAGAATATGAGCCATAGCCTAAACTCCTTAAAGGGGTTATTTAGGAGATTGTATAAGGCGAACATTATAGGGGGCATTATAGGCGATCCTAGGAGTTTAGAGTACAGCTCATGTTGGCATGTGTCCAATCTGAGAGGCGGCCCTCTTCGGAAGTATCCACCGAGTTCTAAGATTGATAACCTTGAGGGTGCCGGTTGCTAGGACCCTTTATTGTACCTCTTAAATAGAGGGGTATATGGTCCCTATTTAGGGTATATAGAGGGTATATGGCAGGTATAAGCACACAGGCATCTCAGACGATGTTTTGTGGTTTTAGTCATGAGACTTTGGGAGTTTCCCAAAGTTAGGGGTACCCTTTTGGGGCTTTCCCCATAATGAGGATTGTAGCATAATGGGTCTATATTGGGGTCCGCTTTATTCAAAAAAGTGCCATTATTAGGGTTTAGGGTTTAGGGTTTAGGGTTAGGGTGTAGTTTCGGGCTATGTACTGGGGTCCCCTCAGTTCGAAAAAGTACCATTACTGTCAGGAAGTAGGATTTGGGGTTGGAGCCTTGTCTGCCAGGGGGCAAATGTTGGGTTTAGGGTTTCGGGGTTTAGGGAATTCAGTTTCTGGATTTGGGATTTAGGGTTTATTCTTGTAATGGCCGCCTGATCTATTACTAGTGGTCTTGCTAGGGTCTTGGGACCTCCTATTGGGGTCCAGGTAGTAAGTACTTCGTAGGGAATGGAGGAGTGGATCCCTGTAGTAACCTATGCACATGATCAGTATAGGCCGGTCGTAGAGCATGGTTTTGGTACTAGGGCTTGTGAATTTAGAGTTTAGGGTTTGGGATGTGGGGATTAAGGTTTGTGAATTTAGAGTTCAGGGTTTGGGATGTGGGGATTAAGGTTTGTGGTTTAGAGTTCAGGGTTTAGGGTTCAAGGATCGAACTGTCTCAATGTTCTCGCAGAGGCTCAAAAATGTTTTCTGGCGTGCCAGTATGTACGGTCCCTTTTCAAGGCCCACAGAGGAAGCTCGTTTGACATGCTAGCATTGCTGCCCCAAACCGTAACCCCTTAAATTCACCCTGAACCCCAAGCCCCATTTCCCGAACCCAAAAAGCATTAAACCCTAAACCCTGAACCCCAGAGCCTGAAAGCCATGAACCCTAAACCCTGAGCCCCATATCATATCCTGAAAAGCCCTAAACCCTGAACCGTCAAGCCCAAATCCGGAAAAGCTGCAGACCGTGTCAAGAAGGCTCAGGTGCAGGCCCACAACGGCCATCCAGGCGTGGCAAAGCTCTTGGAGCTTTTACTACAGGAGCCTCAAAAAGGTGTCAGTGTTTACA